AGAAAAAAAGTGTTTAGCAGTGTATCTAATCTACTCGAATCCAGGTGTATTTAAATTTTTTGAAAGTTTCGATAGCGCTGCAGACACCTGAAAAGGGGGCATTGCTATATAACGGGTACACACGAGCAGCAGCTCTCTAAGTCTTTTCCATACACACAACCAGTAGCACCCTCGGTCTTTTTCATATACGCAAGACTTATGACACATGCCTTCTGGACGATATACCTTTTTCAAATCTTAAATAATAATTCGTATTCGCTCTTTCGTTTATTCTAGTTTATTTTAAATTGCGTTTATTTAATACACTAACTGTAATGATAGTCGAGAGGGTGTTGCCAGGCATTTTCTTGAAAATATCGTTGACGTAGGCCGCAAGATTGAAGAATTATTAAAAACAAATGTCCCATTAGTTATGAGCGAGGTAGATGATATACGAAAACACAATGAAAATAAAAATTGCAACTTTTGTAAACGTAGTTTTGACACGATCGAGAAAGTCCGCGATCATTGTCACCTGACTTTGAAGTTTAGGCAATCTCTATGCTTTCGATGCAATTTAAAATTAAAACAACCAAAATTCGTTCCTTGTTTTTTCCACAACCTTTCTAATTACGACGCTCACTTTATTGTAACTGAATTAGGTTATGACTAGCATTAAGGTTATAGCTAATAGTGAAGAAAAATTCATATCGTTTTCAAAATATATCAGTAAGACGTTTACTATACGATTCGTAGACACGTATAGGTTTATGTCATTAAAATTGGCGACTCTTGCCAAAAACCTTTTAACGCGAGATTTTTCGAAATTCCGCGAAACATCTAAATATTTTGATGCCGGGGATATGCCACTAGTCACCCGTAAGGTTAACCGTACGAGTATGCGGATAGCTGGGATAAGTTGGACGAGCTGAGTCTACCATCGAAAGAAGAATTTTATAGCACGCTTAAGCAGAAAGGTGTAAAGGATGAACACTATGAACACGCTATGGAGGTATGGAGGCACTTTCGATATAGAACGCTGGGCGAGTACAGTGATTTGTACCTGAAAATTAACGTGTTGTTACTCGAGGACGTTTTTGAAAATTTCCGCGATCTATGTATGAAAACGTACAATTTAGACCCTCCGTTTTATTATACGGCCCCAGGGTTCAGCTTCGACTCCATGTTGAAATATACATCGGTGAAATCGGTGAAAAATCGGTGAACATCGGAAAACATCGGTGAAAAAGTATATTATATATTATATATTTATTATTTAAAACACGTTTGACATGATTAATTTTATTCTAGGTACATAGAGTCATTCAATTCAATCAATCTCCCTGGCTTGCTGAATTTATTAATTTAAATACCGAGATGAGGAAAAAAGCTTTAAACGATTTTGAGAAAGATTTCTTCAAACTTATGAATAATAGTATTTTTGGTATGTATATATATATATATATATATATTCTCGTGTTCTTTGATTGTTTTCCAATTTCAATATTGTATAGGTAAGACTATGGAACAAGTTCGGCGCAGTATACAGATGGAGCTTGTTTCAAACGAAGAGAGAGTGCAGAAACTTATTAACTCGACTACATTTAAACATGCAACAGCATACAATGATAGTCTGAGTGCCATAACAATGGAGAATAAAATTATAAAATTCGATAAGCCCAATTATATCGGTATGTATCATAGCATGTATATTATATTCTTATTGATATTTAATAATTCCTTTCACAGGTTTAGCAGTGTTGGATATTTCGAAGACAAAAATGTACGAATACCACTACAATGTGATGTAAAGGCACTATGGTGATAAAATCGAGCTGATGTATACTGACACCGGTAAATTAATAAACTTATATTATTTATTTATTTTTATTCACATAATTAAATAACTGTTATTATAGATCCACTGGTATATTATATACACACTGACGACTTCTACGAAGATCTTGTAAATAATGTCAATCTGCTCGATCATATGGATACTACTAATTTACCACGAGACCATCCGTGTTATATTGCCGAACGAAAAAAGATCCCGGGACTGTTTTCGGATGAGGCGGATGGTCGTATTATGACAGAGTTTTGCGCGCTCCGTGCTAAATCGTACGCTTATAAAATCCAAGAAGTGGATGATATTATTCCGAAGGAGCAGTTCTTGGAAAAAGGCATAAGAAGATAATATGTGGTTAAGAACCATATGACATTTTTGGATCATCGGTGATGTTTATTTGAAGGTAAGGAGCAGGTTGACAATAATAGACAGCCGAACATGTGTATACGTTCATTCAATCACCAATTGAAGACAGTCCAAACCAACAAAATAACTTACAACAATTATGACGACAAGATGGTAGTACTAGAAGACAAAATCCATACACTAGCTCACGGGCATTTTAGAATAGAGTAAGTTTTAAAATTTATTTTTAATATTTTTTTTTATATTTTTATATATTTTTTATTTTTTTAATTAACATACTTTTATTATTTTTTATAGGGACGAAGAGTTGGCTGAAATTATGGCTGATAACGAAGTTTAACCCTATTTGTACATAAACCATTATCCCCATAGTTTAAATTTGAAAATATTGTAAACCATATAAATGTATATATTATACCTTGTAAATGTTAACTTATATAAGAAAAACACCTTGTTAAAATTTTATCAATGTATATTAAATGAAAATATATATATATATATATATAAATTTTGTATTAGCATATTTACATTTTTAAGAATTATTTATAAACCATTTTCTTACAGCAAAGACTTTGTAAAATGTACATTAGTAGGATGAAATAGCCGATTCAAAAACCTCACCCTCACACAACTCACCCGCTGCCGGTTCAAAAACCTCACCTACTCATCCGCCGCCGTTTTGACCCCACTCCTCACGAGCCGCCGATCCGATCGCGTACGTGCGTGACATACGTTTGCCGCTGTTATTCTAATCAGTTATCATTTTCGCGCATATCACATACGCGAGCACCATTATCAGTTATCACAAATGTTATCATTTGTTATCATATGTTATCAGTTATCATATATTTAAAAATATAATATTTGTGTTACCGGGAGGGTATGAACGTATCCCACCTCGACTCTAACCCATTGAACAATATAGTGAATACTGATATATTTTAAATACACGCTAAATAATGTCCACAAAAAAAATACGGACGTTGTATTATAAAAATATTTTAATGATATTAAAATGCCTATTAGTGAATAATACACATTAATAACCGATATACTTAAAAATGTCATACTCGCTCATGTCGCCAGGATGTCGCCGACTCTTAATAGTCAGTATATATCAATACTTAGAACTCCACGGTAGAGATTTCAATTAATCACATTCCAGCAAAATCCAGTAATATTGAAAAATGTCCCCACCTATTATAGAGACTCCTGACTTAAGGAGTCGGTGGCCATTTAGTCCGTCTGCTGCCTTAAACTGGTGTACACGTATTTTTCGTTCGCTCCGTCTTTATACATTTTAGTAAATTTTAAAGTGTGTGTTTTTATTTTCAAAAATAATTTTAAACATGGCTGGTTCTATCGCCAACAACGCTGCACTGTACAAAAAGAACACGTTCACTTATGTGCCTCCAGCACTGCAGTAATTTTATACTTGACTTCACCGGCCGTAAGTTTTTGAATGTAGGACTTGATCCTGCAGACGAATTCAACACCGTAGTAAAAATAATAACACCTTCGATATATGTAAATATGCCAGCCGACTTTCTAAGACGTATATTTTCCTTAATGGGAAATATATTATCGTTTATACTTGACATACCTCAAAAATACAAGCGTAATTTATTAATGGAAACAGAAATTATTTCGCTGTCTAGTATGGTGTATCAAGGAGAAAATGTGCTAGTCATAGAGTCTAAAAAAAAGGAAGGATGTCGTGTATTGCTCGATAGAAAATATGAATTTTTAACGCAAATCAACTCTACACAGGCGACATGGGCACCAACAAAATCATTGGTAATACTCACATTTAATTTTTAAAATATATATATATATTAACAAATTATTATTTGTTTAGCCTATTGATGATACCGATGGGCAAGCATCATCCTCACAGACGGTCATAACCAAACGTCGTAGGCGTAATTCAGACAATTGTGCACAGTACCCTCCATGGTATACAACCCCTCAATATATAGAACCAGCTAGCCCCCCCAGTCGATGAGAACGACGGACCGACGTCTTTCAACCACTCGCCATCAACTTCACCATCACTGATCGACTTCACAGGCGGCAAGCCCACGAAAAAATCAACTAAGCGGAGCGTAAAACGTAAACTGTCTGAATAATATTGTTTAAATAATTTTGTGTAAAATAAAAACAAGCATGATATTTAAAAAACAAGTTTTTTTTTTTTGTTTATTAGATTAAGTTTTTACAATTTATATTTAAAACAAGGTATAAAATATTTAAAAGGTATAAAAAATAATTATAAGATATTTATAAAGTATATAAAAAAAATTATAAAATATATACAAGGTTTATAATTTTCTAACATCTCCACTAAACGGATTGTAAGTTATAATCTGATCATGTAGTATTAAACAATAAGCTGCAGTCTTTTCTGGAAGAACTGTGTCCGTTTCAAAATCTATTCGTAGGTCTACAATACTGAATATTGGTGGCGGGTGGGTAGGTGAGGTTTTTGAACCGGTGGCGGGTGAGTACTGAGTTGGGTGAGGGTGAGGTTTCTGAATCGGCTATTTCATCCTACTGATAGGAGTGTTTGTTATAAGTAGTTTTTCAATTTTTTCAGTTATTTCCACAATACTATCAACAAAATATTTTGGAACGTCCTCGTTGTTTTTATTTCCACGATAAATCACTGGTGAAGTCGGAATATTAAATTGTTCGATCAGTTCGAGCGGTATGTCATCATTCGCTTTAACTAAAAATCCATAGCTCATCGCTTCGTGGTTTTGAAAAGCTGTTGATCCAATTTTCTCGTCACTTTTTTAGCAATGCTTCAAAATTGACGTAAATTACTATCAGAAGACTTTGTTTTTTTCCAAATAGTAAACTCTAGCATTGTTCCAGGTTCAGGCATCTGAGGTAGAATGGGTTTATGTGTGCCACATTTTAGCTTATGTTGTGCTAGTCCAACCTCTCCATTCAATTTATATTTGTACTGTTGTCCGTCGAATGATGTAAAGCACTGTTTACAAAAAATTATTTGTCCATTATGTCTGGTATTTTGTGAGCGAACGAGTCTAGAAAAATTAGAGATGTAGGTAAAGCGGCTGTTCTCTTTGTCTGATATTAATAGTAGATCGAAATGATTGGGTTTTTCTTCATCTACTACTTTTAGTGGAAATACTAGATGTTTAATAACTTTTGGAGGTTGACATTGCTTTTCGATACCGTAAACATTGACAGAGACGTTCGGAATTTTTCTTTCAAAAATGTTTACTTGGTGAAGAGGTGTCGGGAACGATAGTTCAGAAAAATTATATCGTCCTTCGTGTTCAAAATAATTTTCACCAACATAAGCTTTATTTCTTCCTGTCACATGTCTGGCAAAAATTGCCAATTTAAAGCATTGCATGTCCAGGTTTTGAGGGTTTATAGTGGCTTTTTCATTTTCTATTGAATCTGGTAATGCCATGTAGGAAGATCCACTCAAAGGTGTATATTTATATACACCCAACATTAAGAAATGTATACACTGTAATGTAAAGCCACTACCCTTGCTCGAATACTCAGTTTCATCTGTCATTAATTTTGTAAATACCTCTTCAACTATTTCTTGTACTCCAGTATCAGTGAAAATCGCCCTAGCTGAAGTTTTAAATGCACGGTTTTCAGACGAATATTCTACGTGCGGAATATTGTATCTAGCCTCTAGCTTTAAATTGAACTTTATAGGATGTATGTCGCAATTGATTTTAATAACTTGACAAGTTCTGATTGAATTGAATCAAGGAAGTATACATAGTTTTCTATATTACTGATGTTTCTAACGTGATACCAAGTGATTGTACGGTTCGACGAAGACGAGATTTCTACAAAACCAGGGGACTGTGCTAGATTGAAGCGTGCTTTTTTAGCAATTATAGCTGACTTTGTATTGGCCGAGGAAATACGTTTGCCGTTTTCACCCATATTGTATGAATCTTCAAGAAAAAATAAAAAAAACCCAGTTAACCTATGCCCAGTCAATCAAAATTTAAATTACTAACCTTCCATATCACAGAGTCTAAGATTTTTGACGGTGGTTAGAACTTCTATACAATCATCGTCATCGAGGTTGCTCAAAAATTCGTCCATCGGATTATTTCGTTCAGTTGATAAGGGTGTAATTTGGTTATCTTGTACTGTTAATAAGCGATCGTTTTGGGTGGGCGGTCCTGGACGTACAGAAGACGGTCCAGCTGGTATGTTGGGAACAAAAATGTGCGGTGCGATCTGAATATTTTCTACCAGTGGTGCTGGAATACCACCTAGTTATGAATATTATATAAATAAATATTTAAAGCGGAAAACAAAAAGTACGTACCATGAAATTTTTTTTATATAATATTTAATAAGGTTGGTCTTGTAACTGAATGTAATGGAACACCTAGTACACGGGTAACGCATAAACGCATGCTTTTTTTCGTGTTTAACCAAATTACGTTTCGCCGTGAATTCCGAAGCTCATTGCTGACATTTAAATAATTTTAAATGTGTTTTTCGGTGAGCGATCAAATTAATCTTGTAGCTGAATTGATAAATGATTGATTAATTGATCTTGTATTAGCAAATTATGGAGTGTGAAAGAATTATAAATGGCTGTGGGAAAATTGAATAATGGGTTTATAAATAATAACATGCGATTTTTGTGTGAATATAATCACAAGTATGAATTCAAATCAATGAGATTACAGTTAGTGTATTAAATAAACGCAATTTAAAATAAACTAGAATAAACGAAAGAACGAATACGAATTATTATTTAAGATTTGAAAATGGTATATCGCCCAGACGGCATGTGTCATAAGTCTTGCGGGTATGAAAAAGACTGAGGGTGCTACTGGTTGTGTGTATGGAAAAGACTTAGAGAGCTGCTGCTCGTGTGTACCCGTTATATAGCAAGTAATGCCCCTTTTTCGGGTGTCTGCAGCGCAGAATTTAACCTTACCTTTATGAAACTCGCGCATTTGTGCATGTATAGTATACTTACATTGTGACGTACTTATCGTTCGAAGTAATTGAGGCTTTTTAATAAATCTGGTTTGATTTATGTCTGATATATTTAATTGCTTTGTTATTGACGATTTCATTACATTGTAACTAGTTGCGTCATTTTCGTTGGCTGCGCAATTAATAGCCTTGTTGTTGTGCAAAACTGATAATCTTTCAATGGTGATTTTATGAAAATAACATTTTTGTAGTTTTTTATTGCTCTGTTGTCGATGATATTATTTTTAATTATATGCGGAGTTATCTTTTTTTGGCGGTTAGTGCTTGACGGATATGAATTTCGGTAGTTTAATATCTGAATGTTATTTTTGATTATAGAAGATACATTATTTTATATTTATTAATTTAGAACATCAAAGTATGTTTTACAACCCCACTTACATAATAACACAGCGTGCCAATTCTTTATTAGTTGCGCCCCGATTAATGTTGCTAAATTAGTATACAACAGCAATGCTGTTTTCCCATTTCATCTCCAAGTAATAATAAATCATGATGATCATCAAGTTCTTCCTTGAATACTTTTACTTGATAAACTATAGTTTGTTCACGTTTTGTTGTAGTATAATTTAAGGAAGAGGTGAATATGATAATTTAAAAAAAAAACATACCAAATACCACATTGTTCATTAATTTAAAAAAGTCTCTCTCGAAATCGTTCAAAGCATGCATTTTTCCTCGCCAGTGTCGGTTGGGTTAGGTCAGCCTACTGCCTCCATCTAACCACTGCAAATATCTGTGAATGTGAGTGGACCATTACACGCACTGTCCTGAAGCATGGCTTGTTGACAAAATGTCAGGATACACCGTTGCACCAACAGTAACGACGCAGTGAATATGTCGTTCCTCCAACTCAATATTTCGAGTCTCATGACCAAATTCCAATTTTATGATTAGTCTATAGTGCCGATATTAAACAAATGTTCCGAGAAATTCTGATACACCCAGCTGACCGGCATCACTATATCAAGCTATCAGGACATTACGTCAGTTAGCTGATGATGAGACGATTTCACCTTCAATGACGTAACAAGTTCAACGTGAAGATTTTAATGTGTACGAGAGCATGACTGGACTGGACGTGATGCTGCCTCCGAGTTAGTGAAACTACAACGAGAGCTCCTTAGTTTGTTAAAACCAGGTATGGACTATCATTCTGAATGTGGGATAATAATTGTACTTCGGTGTTACAGGTAGTTCCAGTTAAACATTTTGTAGGTAGCCGTTGGAGATTTACATTAAGCTCTTAGATGTTTCATACAATGCTTATGAAATAGTATCACCAAAAGACAGATTCTAGGCGAGGTAGCGTTTATGACCCTTGCGGATTGTAGTATCTATTATATCTATACTCCAAATTCAAGTATATAGTGTCTAGTATGGTGATACTGATTTTTGAGTATCTTGCCCATCCCGGACAGCTGCACCACCACTCTGTTATCGTTTAAAACACGAGTGGCTCCGTTCAATTAAATGTCGGTTCCTGGACTAGAGCTGTGTGGCACACTTCTACCCGGGCTGCTTGTCTACGAGTTGGTGCCAACACTGAACGTCCCATTAGTCCATGTGTAGTGATTCCACCATAGCTCTTTGTGGAACGCCAGTGAACCATATCGATGAACTACATTTTTGGCCGATCTCGTCACCCTATGTCACCATAAGGTCACGATGAAAGTTGGAAGCACGTTCGATCAAGTGACAACTTAAGTAGTATAGAAAAGAGAACGCTAGCCACTCTTTATGCTGGCTCTTTTCCCTATACCGGCTTGCTCATCCCGACCATACCGGGGCTCATCGCACCACCGGTCGCGTACGTGCGCGACGTATATTTTTCCTCCGCTTCTCCGCCTAACCACCTCTTTCACCACGCACGTCCGTCCGACATCATTGTAATGATAATTGATTGAAGTTAAAAACAAATATTTTTGTTTATGGTATTCAAAATTGTATTTATTAGGTTCATATAATTTACTAAAAATTAACTCTAAAAAGAAACATAACTTACAATTTACAACTTTTATTATTTTCATAACATATTTCTTACTATAAATTATTTTGTTACGATTGTTTAATTTAATTTTAATGTATAGTATATTTTTGATTGGGTAACACATTTTCCAAAAATAAATATATTTTTTATAAATATGACTTGAAACACCGATTTCTATATTATTGGTAAGTAGTAGGTAATAAAATAATAATATCTAGGTATATAATGTATAATTTAGAATTGTATTATAACTTGTTGTATCCATATTGTCCTAGTTCTGAAAAAAAAATGTACCAACAAATTTAATTATTTTTAATTTTATGCTGTATTGTAATCCTTTCTCTATTTATAAGTTGAATACAACGTAACTACAAACAATAATCAACAATGTACCTTTATGGTATTTACAAATTATTAACTATATTACATATATGTTAATTATATCGTACCTTTAAGATACTGTTCTTTACTCAAGAGTTGTTGTACCCAAGTTAGAGGATCAAATTCCAAATTGCCGCCAAAATATGTCGGCAAAATATTAGGAGCAATGTATTTGTGTAAAGAATTGAAATTACTTCCGTGAAAATGTACCTTCAAAAAAATGTTTAATGTTACACCGAAAAAAATTACAATGAGGGAAAAACTAACCCGACATCGTAATTTTTCTTTCAAAAATGGTTTTATGATTGAATATACTGTGTATAAGTATAATGGCTCGTTGATAAAATGAAAGCCTTGAAATCTTAATGGGAAACTCTCCTTAAAATATGAATAAAGTCTGTTTTTAATGACTATTATGTGAATAATTGAATGGTAATTATACTTTTTAAAGATTATACACATATAAAATATAGATACTTAAATACCTATTTCAACAATCATTGTTTAGGTGATAATTTGATTGTATATGTAAACTGTAAAAAAACTCAGCTTAGGATAAATGGTGGAAATCAGTATACACCGTTTCTTATAAATTCATTTCTGGATTGAACAGGCAACGGATATAATAAATCGGAATAAACCGATTGTTTTATATAATGTATTATATGTGGCACAATTTGTGATGGCCAGGTAAACGATTTAATAAAACAACTAATATTGCAATAAAACACAAAATTACATATTATATAAAGATGTAAAAACCAGGTTAATGATTATGCTGTGTGATGATGTTGTTTTGTGCTTGGTACCTGCAGTTGACGGTGGTAGCGATTGTATGATGTGCAAAGGTGCTGGTGGTATCTCGATGGTGAAAAAATTTGTGACACAAAAACAACAACTACAGTGACGACACGTGTCAAACACATAGGTACAGACGGAAGGAGGGTAGAAAGGTGTACGAATAAATTGTGGAAAGACAGAGATTAACGAATCGATATCTCAAACAATTATATTGTACATGTTTGCACAAAATATACAAAAGCAATAGCCCATAAGTTACCAAAAAGTCAAATGAATAATAGTATTGATTTTAAACCTTATAATCGTTTGGACTTCGAAACTTTATGGACAAGTGTGCAATATTATACGAGAAATTTTAATTATTGTATTAATAAAAATACCTACTTAATATCTGTTTTTAAGATATACCTATGATTACATGCATTTTATCACTAGTATAATAATATTTAAGATTTCTGGAACATAAACCAAATAAAGTGGTATACCTGATTAATTTATTTTCCTCACTGCGTCTTTTTAAAACATTATTATACTAAAAATATGTGTTTCTTACTTGCACAACTTCAGCAGACTTTTTAGCATAGTAAGGTGATAAATATTGATAATG